TGATAGTCTGTCAGAAAACGCCTACAATAGCTCAAGTTAAAGTATTTAAAGAACTCAGATTGCGCAATATTTAAAAGAAAATGTCTTGTTTACTTATTTCAGTCTGGAGTTTTGCAGAAGTTTTTATTGATTTGCTGCTTATGTGGTGCTACAACGTCCTTGACGTCATCATGATATCGTCAATTTTCACTTTCCAAACCCCTATTACGCGCAAAGTAATTGTAAGCTACATCAATCAAATTTGAATTATTTTTGTTTATTAATTCTGAATTGATAAAATTAATTAAGAATATAATATATTTTTTAAACGCTTCCAATTAATTATTGTCACATCGTATTCATCCAGTATACCGACGGACTTCAGACGAGTTGTGTATGAAGTTCTATTTGAAGGAACGATTTCACTCTTTACTTTTTGTTGAATTCCTCATTAGAGTGAAATATAACCAAATAGCTTTAGATTTCGCATTATTGTGTTTACAACACGAAATAATAGTTGCGTGTTGCAGAATAGCTTCTGGGGCATAATTTTTGCCAAAATTTGATCTCATATCTTTCCAAACAAATCAGCTTATTTAAATTACACAGTTTTATTTGCGAAATTGAACGAAACGTAGAATTTGTAATTCTCGAAAAAAAAATTCGCCATAACTTCAACAAAACTAAATACCGTGAGGCTTTCAAGTACACATGACACAGTGGATAAAGGCGTGGATCCAGTGACAGGACCCAAAAGAGTGTGATTTCAATACCTTGTTAAGGCGGTGGAGAACTTTGAGAGAGGAATTAACAGAAGATAACTGACATCCATTAGACATAGCACGTGGAACTAGAACAGTCTACCCCAGTGAGCGAAATAAAGGCTTCAGTTCGACATTCCTACCACCTGAAGAAGACCGGAGCGTACAACGGCCGAAACGTTGTGATAAACATGGCGACGAAGATGAGAACAATAGGACAAGAATATAAATAGTGTACATAATGAGGAGAATAGTTCGAATAATGTAAATAGTGTACATAATGCCTCATCTCATAAATATAGACAGATACGCGTGAGCGTATTACAAAAAGAATTCTAGTTTATATATATTTCTCATTTGCGTTCGATCCCTGATAGATTACGGAGATTTTCAAAGAACTCTGTATAAAATTCTTACTGTTTCATGCCCGCCTATGATTTGGCTTGTGCCGAGTAAATGATTCCCGTTTTGATTTTGCTTCAATGTTAATTCTTGTATGTAATAAATATCGACATCTAACATCTACACCCAATCGCTGATGGTCAGTGATTTTTTTTGTTATTTTTGTATCGCCATTTCCTTTTTAGTATTTTTAAGAGAAAAATTCTCTTCTCCTTGAGAGAGTAATGAAAAAGATGGCACACTTTATTCGGTTATCCATCGACTAATCTAGCCAACCTTAAGATTCCTATCTTCTTTCAGAAAAGTACGCCTTTATTCAACGATTCCGCCATCCATCTTTTTTTTCTTTTCTTGTTTTTCTGCAGGAATACTTTTGTTTTTATCTTATATTATTCTTGAGAAGTTTATCCGTCTGTCAATGCATTTTTTTCATACCAATTTTTTCTCCACCTCCAAGCCGTAGTTGACGTTGGTTTGTCTTTCTCGTCGTATCGTTGTTGAACTCCTACGCCCCAACCATTCTTTGATTTTTCACAACTCAATATCAGTAAGCCAGTCGAAAAGAGATTAGGTGCTTCATGACTGCGACTGCTTGAGTCCAGCTTGAATAGCAATGAGCTAGTCAGTTGAGGGGTGGAGCCAATCGTGGAAAAAAAAAGTAGAAAATTCGTACAGGGTGGACGCTGATATAGAAAACGACCCATTGAGCCAGAGATAAATGTCCGCATCACGTTCATTAGCCTTCTCTACCGAAACAGGACTTAACTCTTTTTGGCAGGGTCAAAAACAAGTTACTGAAAAAAAAAAGCAACTTCGTTTTCACGAGTTGTTTTATACTAAACGTATCAGAGCTTGCTCCCAGGACCAAATATATTAGACACAGGGAGAATCGAACTTGCGAATAATTTTGGAGAAGTTGCCTTTGCTGATTATTACACCACAATGAACCGCCCTGGTTATTTGATAAATATAGCTTAGTTATGGCACCAGATTCTAAGTTGTTGGCACCCAGGTCGGATCGAATTCACTAGTATTGATTTACAAGTTCATCCTGTTGACCATTACATCACAATGGGACGCACTATTGATGACTATTATTCCTTTCACGGAATTATAAGTCACAGGCTCCCGGTGAGGATCATTGGCTTAGAACTAATAATTTGTGGGACGCACTTTCTAACCGTTACATTTTATTGTTTTCGTTCATGGTCGAGGAGGTTCAATGATCTCTGAATTATATTGCTGCTGCTATCCTCGTAACTGCCGCCAACGAGAACCTTTTTTTTTATCAGAGGATGTACGCAGTAACACTAGCCTTCTCTCAGTACAGTCGATTCAAGTATTGACTTTTTTTTATCGAGGAATAATATTGGCATTTCCACATCGAGAAAAATCTCGAAACGGGTTATTATTTGTTTTAGCTTCCGCTAGAGAACACAAATGAATAATACTGACTGGTTTTGTGAGTTAAAAGATCGGGAATTCTTATCAATCATCCCTTATCAGAGCGGATTTTTTATTCTATAAAATAAAAATGAACATAGTGTTAGATAAAGCATTGTCTACCATTATAAATGTTTGTATTTCTTTCATCTTAATTCCAGTTGCTTTATTTACGCGTAGAGTATTAGTAATAATTTCTGGAAATTATTTTTATTATTGATGAATCATTGTTCACCAATAATTTTTTACTTGTATTTTTTAATTGTTATATTTAACAGTCCCCCCACAAGGAATGTATGCGGCACAAGGCCGAGTTTAACGTGGGTTTCTCCGAGCCCGTAGGCGCGGTCAAATATATTCCCTTTGAACCCGCCTAGACAGGTTCAAGGACTGTCTACCTCCCCGAACGAAACTTTGCCCTGCGGCAAAGCCTCGATCGAGTTCCTCTCCGCCGAGGCAGAGAGTTAGACAGTTGAACAATCTATTCGACTGTTCCCTGTATATTTTAATTGTAATTTCAGTTGTTTATTTCTCTTAGTATCGTAACAAATACTAATATTATATTCAATCTTTACTAGATAAAGCATTGTCAACCCTTATTTATTTTTTATTTGTATTTATTCCACCTTAATTAAACATTCTTTATTTATACTAGTAGCAGTAGAAGTAGTAATGTTATCTTGTCTATCATTAATTTTTGACTTGTATTTCTTTCATTTCAATTTCAATTGTTTTATTTACATTGAAAAAAAAACCAAATATATTACAAATTTCAACAGTCAACAATACTGGATTCTCGGCCACTGCCGCCGAATGTTTCCTTAAAAAGAATCGAATAATATTATCATTACAAATAGCTTAGTATTACTAGTAATATCTTGACATGTTTTATTCGACAATGACCTTGTCAAGCATTACTAATTTCTGACTCTTTGATTTATATCTTAATTACTCTTGCTTTATTTCCACTAACTTTATTCAAAACAGTAACATTATCTTGAAAACCACTATATTAGAATACCACCATATATAATGTTTTTCCAAGCGTAGCTTCGATGTGGCTCTACTCCGAAAGCATGGGGGCAACCAGTGAGGATCGAACTCACTCGTAATTGATCTAGCGAGAGAAGCTCGCTAGCCATTACACCGCCTTGGGGCGCCCAATTACCACTATATATATTACCACTATATATATATTACTAAGAGAAAAACAAGAACAACATCTATTCCATACCTGAAGATGTCTGTAGGAACAGACGAAAGCTTGTAGTAAAAATAAGAACTAATACGGCAGAAATTTATAGAAACAAGGATCTTTTCATTCATAACGGATTCGGAGGTTTTTGTATATTATTTGAATTGTTTGCGATGATGGATTTCTCGCCAATTAAATCATTAACCTTTGCATTTGTTTTTTGTGTGAATAATTCATGAATATGTATATATATATATATATATATATATATATATATATATATATATATATATAATGTGTTTCGGAAAATTAAAAATGTTTTTGCCTATTAAAGGTAGTTTTAAATTGTTTTAATGTCAATTTATTTTCATGCATAAGTTAATTTTGATTTAAAAAAAAAAAGGATTGATGGCTATCAGGACAGAAATTCAAATACTATAATCAAGACTTCCAAAAATAAAATGACTGTTTTGAAATATAGGATTAGAACAAGATTAGTTAATTAAATGATTACTTAAATGAAAAAGAAAATGATTTGCATTTGTCTCTTATTTGTCACGTGAGTTCAAAAGCTTCGCCTATCAATACGTGATAGAAATCCGTTTAACTTTACATACGTCACATGAAGCAAATGAATAAGAAATGATAAAAAATGACAAATCATCATATTACTACCCACAATGCCAAGAATATAATTCTATAACTAATTATATATATAAGACAAGTTAAAGAACAAACAGGAAGCAGATCTTAATCTAACATGTTTCACTTCATTGATGCTTCGTCGACGATCAAGACAGAAATGATAAAATTGATATGTTGTATTTGGCTATTTCTTATCGTAATGAAGTAACAGATAATATTCAAATAAGTGTAAGAAAACATTCTGGATGTTAAAGTGTATAAAAGTTAGTGAGACGAAATAACCAAACAAATCATCCTAATGCGTCTCACTAATCTTTACACACTCTAGCATTCAGTATGTTTCTCGCTCGTACCGAGGCCTCCCTCTATCACTTCTACAATTATTTTTACGGAAACTGTTCCGACGAGCTCATCATCATCTTGCGGCCTCAGCCGAGATTGAACTCACTAATACTTTGATTGGTGTAGTTCATAATCTTGTCAAATAGCTGAATTCTTGATGCTTCGCTAGGGCTATCAAGGGTGTTTTTATCGTGACACCATCACTAAATGAATTGCCAATCAAGGCTCAGAGA